CGGCATCTTGCCGAGGAAGGGAATTTGCTGAACCAGAAAGGGCAAACAAAAGCCCGAGTCACTCGGTCTGGAGGGAGGGGGCAGCCTGGGTGGGAGACTTCAGTTCTGGGATGATGGGGCACAGCTCCGGGTGATTTTATACACAGATCCTGGCCCTGCCCAGGCTGGTCCCTCCTCCCTGAAAGGCTTCTGAGCAGCTACTTGCTCACTCCGAGTCCTTGCTCCCACATTGGCTGCTAGGAGACAAACCTGGCTCCAATTGGCTTCTGAGATGCTCGTTCCCTTGCTTCAGCCCCTCCCGCCCTAGCAACACAACACCCTGATGGTCCCCCGCCCCTGCAGCTCAAGGGTGCTTAGTACCCAGGCACCTTCCATCAGGTTCAGCTGTATGTGGCTCCCGCCAGCAGCAGCCAGGGCCTCCTGCACCATGCACACAGAGGCGCATCACAGACATCCATGGCGGTGCAGGGTGGCTTGAGAAGCCGGACTTGCAGAGCTGCCTCCGCACTTGCCTCCATCCCCTGGGAGCGCAAAGGTCCTGAGAGCCCAGTATCTGGAGGATCTGAATCCCAGGCCCAGCCACCCCAGCAACATGACAGCCTGGGTCACACAACCTTGAGGACAGCTACTGGCTGGGGAGGACATCACTGATTTTGGGAATACCTAGGTTTACCCATTGCTTCAGGGTTTGTCACTCCCCGGCCCACTGGGGTGTGGCTTCTCTTAAGTATCTCCAACCTTGCCTACACAGACACCCAGGGCTGACCCACAGCCCTGAAAGTTTGGAGTTTTGGGGTCTGGAGGTGCTGGGCAGGAGCAGAGGAGCAGTAGGACAGGTGTGGCCCTCGCTGACCTCACACCCCTGCAAGAGGATAAGGCACCCGGAAGAGGGGGGGGGCTGGCATGTTTGTACCCCACACAAGCACTCATCCCAAGCCCTGTCTTCTGAAGCCAGTCAGTATGAATTCCAGCTCCTGGTCTCTGGAGAGGACACACAAATGATGCCAGGCTGTGTGCTTTATCCATCAAGGCAGTGAGGTTTAGCTGGTAAACTGTCCGAGGCCACAAATGGTGCACGGGGTGGGGGGGTGGGAAGCCAAGGGGAGCAGAGGAGAGGAAGTAGACTAGGGAGCTGACAAAGGAGGGAGCCCCAGGGCTGAGAGGACAAAAGAAACAGGGAGCATGGTGGGGGCTGGATTCCTGTGCCCCCACTCTGTCTCCTTGATAGAGGAACACACTGCTGGTCCCTATCTGTGCTGATAGCCCTGCACTCTGGCGAGTCCCAGGGGAGGGTGGCCAGCTCCCCGCCCAGGTGCCTGGTGACCTGCTTTACAACAGTTGTGTGTGGGCACTGTTCCTAGCAACAGCCTCTGCCCAGCTGCCAACAGTTTTCCCTGTGCCACTTCTGACCAGACCACCACTAAACAGAGATGCCAAACAGTGCCCCAGCTCTCCTGTCCTGGTCTGCCCCCAAGTCCTCCCATGGGCCTCTCAAGGGAGTAGAAAGGTCCTGCCACTGATCCCCACTGCCTGCTGTCCATAACCAATCCATGCCTGCTCCCTGACTACCTACAGAGGGGTTTCAATCTCCCTGGCTCCCAAGGGAGATGCTGACCCAACACTGGCCTCTTCCAAGCTACCTGTTTCTGCTCAGCTCACTGGCTACAAACCCCCAGACTTGAGGCCAGGTCTGCTCAGCCAGCTCTCCGAGGAGTCCTGGGGCAAGGTTTTTAATTCTCTGCTTCTGAGGAGACACTGAAGCCTGAGAGAAAGTCGAGGAGCCTGAGGCCCAGAAGTCTGACTGTTTTCTCAGGTAAGGGGCAGCAGGGCTTCTTGCATCTCAGTATTCTAGGCCCAAGTATGACCATCAAGGGGAGCAGACACTTACATTAGGATGCCCCACATGCCAGACCCTAGCTAAGCGCTTTACGTGTTATCTCACTTAGTGCCCCCTTTTTAGACATGTGGTGAGCTGCCCCACCTCACACAGCTACAAGCCACAGCACCCGAAGCTGTATCAGGTTGTCTACTGTGACTGTGTGGTATGGTTGTTGGCTATGCCTTGTCACAGTCACGGGGAGTGGAGTGTGGTGGAAGATGTCTGAACACAGGGCCTTTGGACACCATCCCATCACAAGCACTGAGCCATTGGATTCACTGAAAGAGCAGGCTGAGAGCAGTGGTGTGTGGGGTGAGGAGGGGGTGGGACCGCTCAGGCTGGAGCAGGCTGAGAGGAGCATTGGGGGAGTGGACACAGATGGACCTAGACTGCCATCTCTTGTCTTCTTTCTCCTGCAGCTGACCCTGCAAAGCCAGAGACAGTGATGCTGCCTGCCACTGTGGAGCAGGGGATGAAGGTGGCTCCCCAGCTGTGGCCCAGATAGCAGCCATCTTTGTGGGTGTTTTTCTTTAAAAAAAAAAAGAAGGAAAGAAAGAAAGAAAGAAAGAAAGAAAGAAAGAAAGAAAGAAAGAAAGAAAGAAAGAAAAGAAAAAGAAAACCAAACAAAAAGCCTGCCTCTATGTAGTGTTCCCAGGGTGTCAGGAAGGTTCATGATGCCCTTCACCGAGCAAAGGGCCTTGAGAGCCAGGCCCCACCATGCACAGCTGCCCTAGGCTGGTCTACTCACCCAGCCACACTGTCGTTTGTAGCAGGACAGGGCATGCTGGGCTCTGGTTTCTGGCTGTCCCCACTGGCAGCCACATCTTTCCCCTTCCTTGTCAGGGACTCAGATTAGTTCCAGCCGTGTCCTGTGTTTCTTTCTGCCGAGGCCTGTGACCTCAGGGGATGTGGGCATGGGCACAGGGTCTGTCTATAGCTGTGTCCTTGAAGAGGCACATGACCAAGGGACCAACACAGGCTCAGATCCTCATTCTTGCTGACTAGCTGCTTCAGGGGGAGGAGCCATCGGGAGCCCCACCTCCTGTATCCAGACTACCAGACTGAACCAAATCGAGGTCAGGTGGAGAAAAGAGGTGGCTTGGGAGTGACTTCCATCCAGCAGGGGGGGGTGGGTGGGTCTGAATTGGTTTGTCATATTTGGATGACGGTAGAGTCTGAGAACCCTGTAGGCCTATCTCCCTCTCCAGCCTATGCTAGCTGTTAGGCAGGTTCTGGTACCTGGGAGCAAACGGTTACTAGGGTACTCTGAGGGGAGAAACAGCTGGACAAGTGAGAAAGTCATCATGTGAAGGAAGAAAACAAAGAGCAAGTTCCGTTTTCATGGTACCTTTGGCATCAAACTAAAGAGGACATGGTTGTCCAGGCAACGGCTGCTATGGAAACAAGAGTTATTTCACAGTCAACCTAGCTTTCACTGGAGGAAATGCTGACTCAGGTGACAGCATCTCTCACTCTTTCTGCACACTCACTGCCTGAGGCCTCTGCTTCCTTCCCAAATGTCCTGTTCACAGAGGGTCCAACCCCCCACCCCCCCACACACACATACACTGGGCCGGGGAACAGTTACAGCAGGAAGCAGGTGGAGGCCTATCCTTGCCACCAGAGACCGGGACACAAAGACAGGCTCTGTCTCTCCTCTAGGACCCAGCCCAGTGGGAATGAGGTCCACACATATATGATGGGTCCCACATTTAGAAAGGCTGAGCCTTAACCTACCTTCCAGTCTGTGTCCACAACTGAGAGGAAGGTGTCAGGGTTATCCTAAGGAAGGCAAACAAAGGGGGACAAGTTAGCCAGATCCCAGGGCTCTGCCAAAGCAGACTGGTCTTCCGACTCCCAGTCATGTTCATGCTAATGGTAGTGGCTCATGAGCTTATCCTGGGTGTCAGGGTATGAACAGCACAAGGGTTTCTATCTTGTTAGGGTATCATGGAGACTGAGGGCTGCTCCACAGGCAGAACGCACTGGGATCTCTGCTTGAATGCTGGCTTTGGATCACTGCACACAAGGGCAGAGGATGACAGAGGAGCAAAGAGCCACCATGGTTGTCACCCACAGGGCAGGGGAGGTAGCTGAGGCCTGTTCAGTAGTGCTGCCCACTTGACTCTCTCAGACTTCTTGGGTCTATGTGAAACTGGAAGTGGCATCTTCCACTCTCTGGACTCCAGATGCCATGATGGAGAGACCCTATCTGGCCATGTAAAGCCTGGACTAGAGTAGGCTCCCAAACACAGGCTAATCTGGACAAATAATCTGATGTCATAAATGAGGGGCGCATGGCTCAGAAGACACTCAAAATTGGGCATAGTAGCACATGCCAGTAGTCCAGTGCTCAGGAGGTTGGGAGTCCAAGGCCAGACTCAGCTATGCAGTGAGACCTACTGACTCTTCCAAGGCCTAGGGGAACTACAGGGGTCAAGGGAGAGAAGGTGGTCACTTCTGGATCCCTTAGGAAGGGGGCTTTTGGCAGAAAGGGGTAGGGCTGGTCACTGAAGGAGCATTTCACCAAAGCACCTTCAGTGAGAGGGCTGCAAAGCAAATGTGGGAAGGAGGGAGGAGACAGTTCTGTTAAAAAACAAAAATCTGATGGCAAGGATGATGCAGATAATGGTAGGGTGTGCTATGTGCTCTCGGGACGTTGGGGCTCAGGGGGTGGGTCTGTGGGAGGGAGGGAGGGATGGGGTGGGGCCCACAAACCAAGGGAGAGCAGAAAAATGAGCCAACACGAATCCCTGGGAACCACAGGAGGTGGCCGAGGGAGGTCACAGCAAAGGGCAGAAGAGGATCTGGATGAATGGAAGGAAGCCTGAGAGGTGGAGAGAAGGGGCAGCAGTGTCCCACAGAACCCAGGACTCCCCAGACCCTACAGTCCTCAGGGAAAGCAAGTCTAACATGGCTTACAGAGGTGGGAAGGAATATAGTTGTCCCCTGCCTCTGCACTGCTTCCAGAACCTTCTGTAGGTACCAAAATCCACTTCTCTATGATGGCATTTTAGCTGCCCAGATTCTGCTCTCACACAATTCAAATCAGCTCCAGATGGCCTATAACACACCTTCTAGAAGATAAGCATGTGTCATGGAAATAGTTGCTATACTCTGCTGTTAAAGGAATAAGGACAAGAAAAAAGTGTGTACTATGGCTACTTCTACCTGGCTAACTGAAGCCCTGGATGTGGACACCATGGATATGGAGGGCCTGCTGTATTTTGTATCCTCTCTGGATACAAAAGTGTGTACCTGGCAAACTACAGCCATTCAGAAAGTAAAGAGGTCAGGCAGGCACTGTGCTCGGGATGCTAAGGGAACTTGCCAGCATCACAGCTGAGAAAGGGCAGCTCCTGAAGGCAAAGGTGCAGCTAGTTGATACCTCAAGGACTTTGCTGGGAGTCACGAGGAGACTACAAGTGGGCATTTTTCCTAATAACCCTTTGGAAAAACCAGAGGTGATGGGGTACCCAGCAAGAGCCTCTTGCTGACTCAAGGATCCCAAACACCAGCGTGGCAAACAATGGCCCTGGTGGCCACTGGCTTGAAAATGAGAGAATGGTTACAATAGGAGGAGGAGGTAGGCTTCCAGGAGCAGGAGGAAAGGACAGCAAGATGCTGCAGGAGGCTGGAGAGACCTCTGGAGAGACAGAACCATGCTGCAGGTTAGGGTCTGATGACAGCGCATGCTGGGAGTGACGGCAGAGTGTGGAGGAGTGCCAGTAACAGCCTAGTGGTCAGCAAAGGCTTCCTGGGAACACTTGAGCAGAAGCCAGAATAAAATAGGGAGGCTGCCCTGGGAGTGCTTGGGCTAATGTCTTCTTCCAGCAGAGGAAGCATCTGGAAATATGGCAGATACACTCAAGGTTCAAGGAGGCTGGGAAGGAGGGGAGCAGGGGAAAGAGGAGACAATACCCCGACCTCAGGCATGACCACAGCTGCAGTGAGATGGCAGCCACTGGGAAGTTTAAGTAAAGGACTATCGTGTGCATTTTTAAAGGGTGGTATTGCACAAGGAGAGAAATGGGAACACGGGGAGGAGGCTCCTGCAGGCTACTTAGCAGGAGGATCTGCTGTGGTCCAGGAGCAGTGGGGCCTGGGATGAAGAGTTTGCCAAATTTGCAGCTCAATGACGGTCCCACAAACTACCCTCAACTAATCCAGGAGTGGGTGCTTCGCTTGGGATTATGTGTTGAATGACCAATCACACCTTGTTCAGGGGCAGGGCTGTGGCCTCATGTGGTTGGATTCCCTGGTGCCCTGGCTAAGCCACCTATCGCAGTCCCTGCTGCTCCTTCTGGCAGGAGGCTGGGAAGGCGGAAATAAAACGCAGAGCTGAATGTGGAAAGCAAGGTGGGCGGGGTGCATACCCAGCCATGCTGGATGGCCACTCAGGCTGATCCTGCAACTTTCTCAAGAAATGAACCATCAGTTCTGGGTGGCTCTGAGTTCATAGGGAGGTTCTCCCCATCACCACAGGCAAGATTGCGGGAAAATACGCAATTTCCCTCTTCACCACAAGGTGGCACACGGCCCCAGGACCTGGAAGGGGCGACTCACCAGCTCGGTCACATCCTGGCCCCGGAGGAGGGGCTTCTCCTCAGGGAATCGCAGCTCCTGCAGCCCGGCCATGGTCATGTCATGGAGCAGAAGCCCTAGGAGGAAGGGAATATGCGGTTGGTGCTTGTTCTGAAGTTGCCCTGTGAGGATATCACCGGCCAGGGCTACTGGCCCCAGGTGACCACAACTGATCTCTCTCCAAGACCTGCTTATGCCAAGGAATATTACATTGTAATTGCTCTTTTCAAATAAAATCACATTTAGCATAATAAAGCAACAAGAGGATCCCTGTAAGTGGCCAGAAGTACCCAGCAGAGGTTTTAGAAAACTGAAGCCGCGAGGATGGGAAGTGACAGCTCTCTTTCCTGAGACTCAAACAGGGTCAGGACAGAAAAATGTATGTGATCTCTGCCTATGGCTACCAGAAGGTCCGTGCCTTGATTTCTGGGTGATGCAGGCAGAGGCAGAAACTTTTTTTTTTTTTTTAAAGATTTGTTTATTATGTTTTGTTTTGTTTTGTTTTTTTTTTTTTGGTTTTTTTCAAGACAGGGTTTCTCTGTGGCTTTGGAGGCTGTCCTGGAACTAGCTCTTGTAGACCAGGCTAGTCTCGAACTCACAGAGATCCACCTGACTCTGCCTTCCAAGTTCTGGGATTAAAGGCGTGCACCACCAACGCCCGGTTGATTTGTTTATTATGTATACAGTGTTCTGCCTGCATGTACACCTACACACCAGAAGAGGGCACAGGATCTCATTATAGATGGTTGTGAGCCACCATGTGGTTTCTGGGAACTGAACTCAGGACCTCTGGAAGAGCAACCAGTGCTCTTAACCTTTAAGCCATCTCTCCAGCCCCAACGCAGAAACTTTTGAGCCTTGGAGGAAGAAAGGGTCACACACATACAGTGTGTACACATTTGCTGTGTGTGCTTGTGTAGGGGTGCAGCAACAAACATTGGACAGACAACCCAGGATGAGGTGTTTGCAGGAGAGGCAGTACCATCTCTCATTTGGGTATAATGGCAGAGGCCAGAATATACCTAGGAGAGAAATGAGGCAAGGATTTGCACTAGACTTCCATTAACACACAGAGAAATATTCAAAGAAATTCAGATTAAAATAAGATACTCAGCCAGCATGGTGGCACATGACTTTAATCCTAGCACTTGGGAGGCAGAGGCAGGTGGATTTCTGTGAGTTTGAGGCAGCCTGGTTTGCACAGCAAGTTGCAGGCCAACCAGGACTTTATACTAAGACCCTGTCTCAAACAAATAACTAATATGATACTCATTTTTTTCATTGTGACCACGAAACAGGCAAGGCATGCAGTTTTAGCTAAGAGGCACAGAAAGCAGAACTTTCTAGATTCTGGTGGTGCTGGGGATGGAATCCAGAGCCCCACACATTAAGGAGCATGCTACCCCTGAGCTACATGCCCAGCCCCAGACTAGCACTTTCTTAATTTATATGCCACAAAACATTGACATCTTTCCCGCCTGGAGATCCATTTTGTAAAAGTGAATGAAATTCCCCAAAGGCTCAGACTTGGGCGGGGGACACAGCTGGGGTATAGACAATATGGATTACCAAAAGAACAAAAACAAAAAAAAAAAACCCAACAACAACAACAACAAAACCCACATCCTAATGAGTCACATTGTCAGATTTCCTAATGAGTCAGGAGGTGACTGAGGGCTTAGCCTTAGGAATGCTCACCAGTGTCACCATCAACAGAAAAGCTGGAAGAAGCCAAAAGCCCATCAGTGGGCCACTAGAGTCACACATAGCTTTGGTAATCTGACAAGGATTACTTTAACTCATGGGGAAACACTGTGCAAAATTTAAAAACGCAGCTAGCGTGTGTGTGTGTGTGTGTGTGTGTGTGTGTGTGTGTGTGTGTGTGTGTGTGTGTGATGGCTCAGCAGGTGAAGTCATTTGCCACTAGATTTGATAATTGAGTTCAACTCCCAGAACCCAAATAGTGAAAAGACAGAACCAAGTCCCACAGTGTCCTCTGATCTCTGCGTGCATGTTGTCACACAAGTGTAACAAAGGTAATGTTTTTTTTTAAAGCAGCTACAAAAGCATACAGTATCACATCATGTCTGAGAGATTCAAATGGTCCCACAAGAAGAGTCTGGACAGCTATGTGTGACATCACACAGTTTCCTGGACAGCTATGTATGACATCACACAGTTTCCAGGAGGGAGCGTGGTGGAGGGTAAGCTAGGGCGGGTGGAGGGGGGAGTTCTGAGATACACAGTAAAACCCTGACAAAATAGTCATAATAAACAACTAGTTTCAGGCACTGCTCCTGGAGGGGTGGAGGAGGACTGAAAACAGGGTGTCCACCGTGAGAACACAGCCCACAGAATCAACCGGCCATGACTTATGGGGGCTGGTGGAAATCAGGGAGCCTGTAGGGTCTGACCTGGGTCCTCTGCATATGTTAAGGTAGCTTGGTGTTCTTATGGGACTCCTAACAGTGTGAGCAGGGGCTGTCTCTGATTCTTTTGCCTACTTGTGGGACCTTTCCCTCCTACTTACTGGGTTGCCTTGTCCAGCCTTGATGTGATGGTATGCGCCTGGTCTTATAGCTTGCTATGCTGTGTTTAGCTGACATCCCTGGAAGGCCTGCTCTCTTCTGAGGGGAGGTAGGGGGTGAGTCTGGGGAGGAGAGGGAAGGCAGGAGGGGACTGGGAGAAAGGGGAGGGGGGACTGCAGTCAGGATGTTATACATGAGAGAAGAAAAAGAAAATAGGATGTCCACTCTCAAGTGTGTGTGTGGGGGGAAATTTTTAATTAATTAATTATTTTTGGAATAAGGGTCTCACTTATTGTAGTCTTGGCTGACCTGTAACAGTAGTTATAGGTCTACTATGTAGACCAGACTGGCCTAAATTTTTGTTGTTGTTGTTTTTCTTTTCTGAGACAGGGTTTCTCTATATAACAGTCCTGGCTGTCCTGGAACTTGTATTGTAGACCAGCCTGGCCGTGAACTCACAGAGATCCACCTGCCTCTGCCTCCTGAGTGCTGGGATAATGGGATAAAAGATGTGGGTCACCACTGCCCAGCCCAATTCCTCCTCCTCATGTGGCACCCACAGCTTGTAAAGTGTTTACTTGCGCTATCTCATTTCACCCTGACCTGAAGTGAGGTGAGGAGACGGAGTATAAATGAGGCCCTGTCTGGATGCCCAGTGCTCAGTGCCTACTCTAACCCATGTCACCTAGAGGGTGAGGGGATGAACTCTGTCTCTAGCCTTCCCCTCCTCCTCTGCCGTGGGTCCCCAGCAGCAGGCTGGTCAGAGCTGCCCTTCCCTAGCCCTGCCCTGTTTGCTTCCCCCTACAGAAGGCCAGTGACTGAATAAGGGAACCCATGTCTGGCCAGGTGGCAGCCCTGAGCCTTCATCCTAACCCTCAGCACAGGAGGCAGGGGGAGGCTCTGGGCTGTTGCCCTAAGCCCTGGGTCCCCACCCGATCACACCCTGCCACCCTGCGGAGCTTTTTGTTCCCAGAGGTTTCCCAGGAAACTAGCTAACACGACACAGATGGGCTGTATTTTTAGAACGACGTCCTCTCTCCTCCTCCTGCCCTTTCTTCCCTTCCTTTCTGCTGTGTGCACACTCATCCATCCACCGGAGTGGGAGTTCTGCAAGCTCTCTCTAGGGACCATACTATTAAAAGGGTTGAGGGTGGGCAGTGCAAGGACAGACGTCTGTGATGAAGGAGTACCGGGTAGGGGTAGGGAGAGACAATGAGAGAACCCAACCTGCCTCTGCCCTGGGGAAATGGGCAGCCCAGCCTGCTCTGGGGCTTCTGGGCAGAGGCTAGAGTAACATTTCCCTGAGGGCAGCAAAGAACATTCTCAGAAAGTTTCATTTTTTCCCCCACAGCAGCTGGGTGGTGGAAGAGATACGTCTTCCTGGATGAGCCTGGTTGAGATCTGAGTAAAACAGGTAGATGACCCGCAGCCCCGGTCTAAGGATTCAGGGGTCCCTGTCACCTGGCAGAATGCACTCAGGCAGTACCCTGGTCAGCCCAGGCTTCCATGATTGCATAGTCTGCACGCAGGTGCAAAGGACTCCTTTAAAAGAAAGACCCCGACATACTTAGCTCTCCTTTCTGCTCTCTTTCCCGCTGTTCACCTGGGGCAGACAGGACTTTTCCTGTCTCCCTCTTCTCTTCTGCCCCATTCCCCATTTGTCTGTGTCTCTTTACCTCTTTTCTCTTTCCTCTCCCTCCCTTTCTTTCTTATTTTTTTTAAAGATTTATTTATTTATTACAGTGTTCCGCCTGCATGTATCCCTGCAGTCCAGAAGAGGGCACCAGATCTCATTACAGATGGTTGAGTCACCATGTGGTTGCTGGGATTTGAACTCAGGACCTCTGGAAGAATGGGCAGTACTCTTAACCCCTGAGCCATCTCTCCAGCTCCTCCCCCTCCCCTTTCTAATAAAACTTCTCACCTAAGCTCTGTCTGTCTGGCATGCTTGTCCCTCTGTCTCAGTCACCCTTGCCTGCCATGGAATCTGCCAAAGTCCCCCATGCACTTTATTATAACACCTGGGGCCTGAAAATGCTGCCATATTCTTTCCCCTTGCTTTTTTTCCTCTAGACCACTCATTACCTACAGGCTTGTGGAGATTCAAATCCAAACAGGTCTGGGGTGACCCCCAACTCTCACACTTAGTTAGGCCAGACCATGGTCCCTTCAGTGCTGGGCAATCTCTGCCATTGGTTGCTGCCCGGCTTGTGTGGGCAGGTCACACAGAGACTGCTGACATACGGAGAGGAGCTAGGGTCTCCTGTGCCCACCTTGGAAAGCTAAGGTGGTGGGGTGGGGTTGCAGAGACAACAGCTGTGTAAAGGTCATGCTGGGCGGGGCTGCAGCTCCCTGGCACAGTGCCCAGCCTGAGGTGATCTCTACTTGGAGTCTCAAGCACCACACAGAAGAAAGGAAAATTGTAACGGAAGACTTTTGTCTCCCGCCCCAGGCCCCAACCTGCTTAGCTCCCAAAATCTGATGAGACTAGATGTGTTAAAGTTCTATACCTAAAATGAGGCAAACAAATAAACAAAACCAAGC